GAATAGGAGAAACCTTCATCTTCCTCCATCGAAAGGAGGGGGGAGGGGGAAACCCCAAGAGAGGTAGACTGTGCCAGTGTACAGTGTATTTTTACTCTGTGGTGGGGAGACATAGGGTAAGCAGCACTGTGCTAAGCAGTGATCCCCCTGGAGCAGGCTGGGATGCTGGGTCCCTTTTTCCCTCTAAAGCCCCTTCCCCTCCAGCTGTTTCATTTGCAGCCATTTATTAAAAGCTCGTGTTAGTACGAGCTCTTGTTGCTGGGTAAGAGCGTGACACTGGGCTCTGCAGCAGCACTTTTCATTCCTAATAGATGCCTAAATCCTAACAGATGCCTGTGCCTGAAAACTCCACATCTGTGGGAAGCGACCGCCACGTAGCATCATCCTGGCCAGCGACTCACGCTCTCCCACGCTCATTTACGGGCACTTAACATATCTGGGAACAAAACAACACGGAAAAAGCTCCAGTTGTCAGGAGAAACTGGCCGCCCGTCCCCGAGCACAGAGCTGCAGCACCTGCTGCCCAGGGCTCTGCCCCCAGCCTGGACCCCACAACGGGCAGCATCCCACCCAGACAGGTCTCAGCTTCTCCATCACCCACCTGGGACAATCTCCTCGGGGAGGACTCATGAGTGCAGGATTTGGCTTTTACTGGCCCTGGCCTCCAGGGCCAGTAAGCCTTGGAGCCTCCCTTGCCCGGTGGTGCTCCCTTGGGAAGTGACACAGAGAACGCAGGGCTGAGCGCAGTGTCCCCTGGCTGATGGGACGCTGTGGGCTGCAGCACCGAAGGGGTTAGAAACACACTGTGGAGTCTGGATGTCTGGAAGAGCAGTGGGGAAACAGTGCTTTTCTGCTCCCTTCTCATCTCAGCGGTGCCTCGAGGAGCTGCAAGAGCTGTCGAGGCTTCTCTGAGCAGCTCCTGGTCATCCGACCACGTCATCCAAAGGTGCAGGGGGAGCACAGCCCCAGTGCCTGGTCCACGAGCACCTTCTCTGCTGTGGAGGGCCCAGGATCTGCAGCCACAAGAAAAGCCCAGATGCTCTGTTAGTGTGGACCCTCCACCTGAGGTACTGAAACAGCCACGATCACTCCCCACTGTGCTTTGCTGTCCTCCTCCACAGGCTCGGGGCTGCTCAATCCCCCAGACCCTGCAGGGAAAGGAGGCTATTGCTCCTTCTCCCGCTGCATGTCCCGGCTGGACTTGAAGAAGTCACTACGCAGCAGGCGGTAGAAGAGGATGATGTTCATGGGCGTCATGATTGCCATGCCCACCGTGCCTACGGCGTACGTTGCCGGGGGCACGTTCTCCCGATTGAGGAAGAGCCAGCGAGTCATCCAGGCCAGCGTGGCGATGCGGAACACCATGTAGGTGCCCAGGTTGACGATGCTGTTGAGGCGGTAGCAGGTGGTGTGCACCAGGTTGGCCATGAGCAGGATCTGCCGCAGGTGGAGGAAGATGGAGTTAATCTCCACCAGTAAAGCCACGAGGGCAAAGCCGACATACTGGTGGAGCAGCACTGCAATACCAAAGCAGACAATCACCTGGGAAGGAGAAAGAAGAGAGGCTGAGCCCAGGAGCTGGTTGCTCTCAGCTGCTGCAAGCTGGAGCCCTCCATGTTCGGGCGCAGAGTGGAGCCAAGGTGGAAACGGTTATCACACCCGTGCCAAACCTGGTCATCACCCCACGCATGTCTCTGCAGCATTGCAGCCTCCAGCCAGCGCTGTAGCCTCGGGCAGGAGATAAAGTCACCCCACCATTGCGTGAAACCTGAGTGGGTTGTTTTTGTTCCCAGTGGGAGGAGAAGGAAACATTTCTATAAACTCCAGGTTGGCAGAGGAGACAGAGCAGCCAGACCTAACCCTGCTTTTGTGGCCTGGGGAATGCAGTTGGTTGTGGCCCAGCAGGTTTTTCCACACACAGTGAACAGGACAGGAAAGGAGACGTGTAGCCCAGGGCTACGGTTGCTGCTGGCTCAGGGATTCTCCCCAGAACAGTCGAGCTGCAGGGATTAAGCGGCTTTGGGGCATCAGAGAGCCCCGTGGGATGCCCCAGGCCTGGCCTGAAGCACCCTGGGGCTGCTGGATGCCGCAGCAGGGGACAGGGCTGCTGGGGGCAGAGCGGGTGCGATTCCTGCCCCCTACCCTCCCTGCTGGATGGGGGGACAGGCTCTGCCTGCCCATGCTTCAGCACACACAGTCCTTTCTTCAGCTTATATCATTAATGCTGTTCTCTGTATTGGTTCTTTAATGAGATTATCTGCTCCCTGCTCGTTAAGTCACTGTCTTGGCTTGAATTAGCTCTATTGTGGAGATGACCTTTTGACTCGAGAGCAGAGCTGCAGGGCTCGCTGGGCTCTGCGAAACAGCAGGTCTGACCATTGCCTCCCCAGTCCCATCCCAGGTAGGTCCCAGTGCTGTCCCTGTCACCATTGCCAGGCCCTGCAGACCCCCGTGCCTCCCCTGTACCCCACAGTGTCTCTGCTGCTCAGCTCCAGGCTGTGACACCCACCTGCCCTGCAGCATCCACAACGCTCCAGAGTCCAGCTCTGGCATCTGGACATCGGAGGTGATCAAAGAGAAACCCACGCTGGGCACAGCCAGGCAGGCAGAGGGTACTGGTGTGGGGCTCCTGCACCACGGCTGCTCCAGCCGCCCCAACCCGGTGGCCACTGCTCTGACCTGAGTGAGAGGAAAGCACCCCAGGGAGCGGGAGGTGGAAGGAGGCGATGTGCAGCCCTTCCTGGCAGATACTCAAGTGGCTGAGAGCCAGCAGGAGATGAGCTGCTTGCCTGTGCCAGCAGGGACACCTGAGTCACCGCGTGTCCAGGCCACTATTACGGATCAGCCCCCTCGTCCAGCCCTCTTCTACTCTACTCTGTGCACACACATTTCATTTCCTACCTATCTTTGGGTGCCTTTCTGCAGACCCTCCAAGAGTACACGAGTCCTGCAGGATGAAGAGCTCTGAGCCCTGCTGTCTGGGCTCCTCTCTCCAGGCAGAAGATTCAGGCAGGTTTTGTAACAGGCAGCAAACACCCACACTACCAACAGCAGAAGCCCCGCTCGCGTCCCCCAGCCTCCCTGGTGGTACAAGTGCCAGGGTCTGTCCCTTGGAGAGCGGCTGACGGACTCACCACGGAGTGATGGAAGAGCAGCTCCCAGGACTGGCGAAGTTTCTGATTGCACAACATGTCCACAAAGTCTTCAAGGAAATAACCTGGGATCAGAAAGGCCGTGAGCAAAGAAGGCGGCCAGGAAGGGCTGTGCCAAGGGACCCCCCACGCCAGCAGGCTCTGTACCTGACTGGGCTGGGCAGCCCCTCTGGGGAAGTGATGGCCACAGCTCAGCCCAAACCCTGTATGGGTGGTGAGTCATGCACAGGGCAGGACCACGCACAGCAGGAAAAGGAAATTGGTGTGTTTTGGGTCCCTCCAGCAATCACTACATAAGACGTGCTCCTAGGGAGGGGCACTAACTAACTGATCACCTGGATCTGTTTCCAGAGAAGGGTGACAGCAAAAGTGGTGTGTGGACCCTCCCCTGTGTTACCATCCTGGGATGGGATCCCTTTCAGCCTGGAGCCCTTCACATCTGCAGGATTTGCTGCCACCAAACCAACCCCATGTTGGCATTTTAGATGCCTCAAACCTCCTTGCTGAGCTGTAGCCATGCCGGGAAGCCTGTTAGCACTCACCACAGGGCTGGTGACAGATCTGCAAGAAGGTGACAGGGCGGGAGGTGGGAGGAGGCTTCACACAGCCAGAGGACTCAACGCTCCTGCCCTCCACACTGGCAGGTTTAGCTTGAGGCTCTGGGGCGAACTGCATCAACCCCATATCGTGGGTATTTTTGGGATGCCCCAAGCCCTGGCTTCCCCGTGAGGATGGTGGCGGGCAGCCTGGTGCTCAGTACCTCCTGACCGCGAGTGCCGTGGGACAGAAAGGAGCCACTGTCCTTTGCCAAGAATAGGGCGATTGTCTGCAGTGCCTGAGACATTGCTGCCCGTGATGTGGCTCAAGGGGCTGGTGTCAGGCACCAACGAGCCCCTGGGGACACCCCGGGGGGGCAGAACAGGGGTCAGCCCACTCCCCCCACCTCACCTACAGATACAGCGACCAGGCTGTGTGCCCCAGGCGGGTGCGTGCCCACCA